TGGGTAGTGTGGGACAGGCTTATTATAATCGTCTAAATTACACCCTATTAACTCAATATTCTTCACATAATTCCGTAGTTAAGGTAAAAGTATGAATCAAATTGGTATTGATTTTGTTGTATATAAAGATAGAAATGAGTTAAACTTATAGATCATTATTATTGTTGTTATTTAAAGCTATAGTTTATTTTGACTTTACTTTCATCCAATGCTATAATCATAATAACTTAAAGTACTGTATATTGACTGTAGTTTTGAAATATGTATTTAAAATTGTTTCGCTCAAATAATTTTTAATAAATAATGACTTTTACTTTTAATAGTCTAACTTCACTTTTCAAAGTACAGCCTAATTATGAAATTAGAAAATGTTTGCAAATCTTTGAGAATAGTGTCTAACAGTGAATGTATTGTTGAGATGAGTCGGAAAGGCTGTGAATTCTGGCAATGAGTTCATCGATCTATCGATTCAAAGTCTACAACAAAATTGAAAATTAAAATATTTTTTAGATTTGATACGCATTTTACACACAGAAATAATTTGTGTGAAATTTATTATTCATTTGTGTAAAACACGAAATATTGTTTGGATGAGAAAAATATTTATATACATCGAGAATATAATAGAGTCGGAGCTGAATATTAGGTAATAATACTAAAATGGTTTGACTGTTGACTGGGATTTGAAATGAGATGAGAAGTGTTGGTAGTGTTGGGAAGGGATGCGGAGATGCATTGTGTTTGTCATGTATTAGACGTTCAGTACATCTAATGTTGAATACGTGAACACAGAGTAGAGTCCATACAAACAAGTGATGGCAACATATTTGCCAGATTTGGTCAAATAGTTTTGCCAGTAATCAAAACAAATCACGATTCAATGCATCAAATGGTGAAAAGCATTTCATGAAAATTAAATTGAATTTATTTCCATACAAAAGTCAATTTCACTATAAAATTATACTCTATTATAGAGATTATCATTGAAAGTCTTGTACATCACTGGAAGGTATGGTATGCTATGCTATTTACAGTATATAACTGTATATACGCTATAAATAAACATCGAGTGAACTCTCTTTGGCTTATATTCTCTCTCCGGTTGTGTCTCTAATCTAAAGCTTTAGTCCTTTAGTTAATCATTAATTAAATTCATCGTAAAAGCACTAAATTATAGCCAATTTAGTAAATTTTATCACAAAAATATATTCAACTCCTAATATATTGTCATTATTTTTATTGATATTATTTGATAACAATTTCGATCTAATATGCAATTAAAGTGCCAAAACTTTGAATTGATTTCCCAAAAAAGACTAAACAGATAAAAGCATTGCTTGTATTCAGTATTCAAGTCTTTTAGGCAATGAGTTGAAGAAAGATATTAACAATCGATAAAATTATATTTACTCTTATGTGCAAAAGTGAACCAATTATTGCAATCCAAATAAGACTTAAGTGTCTCTGAGTTTGTAATTAAGACTGACGTCCAATGAAATGAAATCACATTTTCCTAATTTAGTCAAACTTTTTCCTCTTAATTCTCAGCCGTAACTATATTTAAATAAATATAATTAAGTATTACTCAAACACTTCTCACATAAAATTATTTTTATCGCAATNGTCCAATGAAATGAAATCACATTTTCCTAATTTAGTCAAACTTTTTCCTCTTAATTCTCAGCCGTAACTATATTTAAATAAATATAATTAAGTATTACTCAAACACTTCTCACATAAAATTATTTTTATCGCAATGATCAGTTTCTTATACATTTTCCCATTTAATAAATAATAATAATCAAATATAAATGATCGAAAACAATATGCAATTGTTGTCAACTATTGTTTATTGTGAACATATTCAATGGCATTATAAATGAGTATAAGTAATACAACTTTTTAAAAATGGATTGTACTTTTTTTTAATAATCTCAAAGTGCTATAAGAGCTGATCCGTGAAATTCTTTGCAAGCGTTAAGATATGCCGAGAATTCAGATTCAATGAAGGAATTTGTCGACTGAAATGTGTTTGACTTTTGGCACAAAACTGACAAACACTTCAGTCATTTAGTTGAATCAAATTTATAAAAGTAATATCTGTCTGATAAACTCATTTCTGTGTTAAACTACATTTTGGTAATTGTTTATGAAATCAAAGTTGATTGCATTATATAGTAATAAATATATCAAAATATATTAAGAAAAGATAAAAGCAATTAAATTTATTAACACAAATTTATACCTAAAATATGTAATTATCTCGTCAATTAGAAAATATACTTTAATTAATGGTTAAATAAAA